AATGAGACGAAGATTACGAGAAGCAACACGATGACGCTCCTCCGTTAGTGAAAGGGCCCCCTTGGCGCGCGAATGCACATCATATCATCTGCAGCAAGCGCGATAGGGAACAATAGCCCAACGAGACCTTTTCATTGCTTGGTTGTCTCACTCACACACTCACACAACGAACCGGCGAGAGAGAGAGAAGAGGGTGTCTAGATTTTTTAGGCCCCCCGTTTGGCTGATTGCGGCCACCTGCATGACGCTGTCCTACCCACCCCCCAACCCAACGAGCCACGACACCCTCCGAGACGCTGCGGCGAGGCTGCCCACTGACAGCTCGTTCAAGCTCCTGTGCGGTTCGGGTTACCGAATGAGAGCGTCGCCGGCTTGCTGGGACGGTGTTGTCATGTTTGCAGATGTAGAGAGCACAGAAACTAGATTACCCCCCGCGCGGAGCGGTTTGCGACACACAGACAGACGGCCGACTCGATGTGATCATGTCGTTGATAAGCCCGGCAGCAGGCAGAAGCGCCCTCTGGCCAGTGCAACGACCTTAGTCAAGCACGTCGGCGATCACCTCTGAGTTGCAGTGAGCTAAAGTGCCTCCTAGGAAGGGACGGGCCATCAATTGCCAACTGGCACGAACAAGATCTGGTTTTCGTCCTCTCTCTCTCTGGTAGTAGTGGCGCGTCGTTTTCGAAGCTTGAGCAACGTCAGCATATAGTTAGCCACATTTGCATATCGAATAACAGCATGCCTCCCCCCCAAAGTCGTGCACCTGCCCAGCCAATGGCGCCGAGGCCGGGTGGGAGGAGGCGGTGAAGAAGGGACGCGGTTTGCGCGCACTACGGTACGGGACCTACAGACTACGGCGTCTGTAGGTCATCCAAACTGACTCATTTACGGCGACTTGCGTGCTAGCGGCGCCGGAGGCAAGGCATCTTCTTCTTACTGAGGCATGCTGACTTGTATTAAACACCTTCTAGCTGCGGAATGTTTACCAAGGTCGTAACGGAAAGCCCCGGTTGCGCAAGTCGTAGTGCCGAACGGGGACCGCCTCGACCTTGTATCGGAACGTTGTGAAAAAAAAAGGCCGCTAATGCAACAGATCTTGATGTTGCTGCTGGTCCCTCCGGGCATGTGAGTGAGTCGGGGTCTCTCGTCCATGGAGGCTGCCCGGCGTGTGGGCGAGTGCAGGGGTGCCGGGCGAGCAGGAAACAAACGTATTGAAGGTTTGGCTCGGTCCCAGAGATGTCGTGCTGTAGCAGGTAGCCTTCCTGATGACTGCCGGCTGACCGAGCAGAGCCTTTTGTTTCATTGGGAAAGGCAATCGTACGGGCATCTCGCAGTCTGTTTTATGTCTAGGATTCTGGAGCTGGCGGATGAGTTCAGGAGCCCCCGAGAACAGAAGGTTGCATGTCAAAGGACGGCAGGGTTACGACGGTTAGCATCTCCGTCCGAGCCGCCCAGGGATACACACAGTGACAGGCAGTTGAGGACTTGTAGCACAGTACCTAGCTACGTACGGGACGCCTCAAATGCGACCGACCGACCGGTGGAGATGCCGCGTCTCGTCCACAGCTTGAACGGGCCCAGTGGTGAATTCGATGACAAAGAGGTGATACCCTCAGCCACTCAGCGCAGTGGCCAAGGGTAGCACTGCTTCAAAGTGAGTCTGGCGGAATGGCTTCCGGGCCGCCAGCGGATGGCCGTGAAAGCACGGCGTGCATTTGTAGATAGCGAGGCATTGCGGTTGTGTAGGACCTTGCTTACTGGCTTGGATCACCACTGCCTAGCGCCATTATCAGAATTGAATGCCTGTGGCGGAACAATGTCCGGACGGCGTATCTGATGCGTTGAAGCGGTTTTGACGTGAACGAGGTTCGTTACAGAGTAACTCGCTGCGTGGCTGTGACGGACGGGGCGGCTGTTGCGATCCAGACCGGATCGACCATGCACACTGTTCACAAGCTTTCCCAAGCTTGATCCGGGAAGATGGATGAGTGTCTGGCAAAAGGCTGACAGAACGTGGCCTAAACCCTACGTTGTCAGTCGGAGACCCATACGTCGTCAGCTAGAAATAGACACCTTCAGGTAAGGCGGTTCCAGGTCCAGTGGCAGTTCCGGGATGGTGCTTGGAAATGATCGGATAAAATGGACGCAGAGGATTCGGATGGAACTTGAAATATGGGGGCACCGAAGAGATGCCGTTGCAGCTTGCCCGTCTTGGGGGATCCGTATTGTCTGAAGATCCAGGCACCTTGGCTGAGATATCGGTTCACCAGGGCCTCTTTGTGAGCTGAGTGCTTGGTTGGGTAGTTCATCGACTAAAATGTGGTGTGGTGGTGGGATGAGTACTTTGTGATTGATACCGTTGAGAAGTGACGGATGAGCAGCGTAGGCACCGCCGGGTGAAGGAGGAAATCCCGTCGGACATGGGTCCGTTCGTGTCGAGGCGCGGGGGTTGCGAGGCCGTTCATGAGCGGTATTGACCTCTGATTCGACAAACGCCCTGGTCGTGACTCAATGCGAAGTGATGGCAGGATGATGCGATGGTGGTTCGCCCGTTGCTCTAGACTTTGATGGTCCAAGGAGTATGGACGGGGAGGATGAGACGTTTCGACGGGATGAGTGGGGTGTAATATGATTATTGATCGAATACCACGGTGGAAGTCAGACACCGTATGGAAAAGGACCCTTAAACATCAGAGCTGACGATGCAGACCAGGCCTGGAGTGCGTAGGGACAGGCAGAGATCGGTAAGTAGGGCAGGTGTAAGGACCCTGGCTGACACAGCGCTGTTAAGTGTTTGTTGCTGAAGTGGGTCTTTGAGTTCCGGTTTGACCTTGAGTTTGAGCTTTGCTGGATATGGACATGCTGGTCCGACAAAGCAACCGTGGCAGGCCGTAGAGCCATTTATTGAGCAGGTTGACAGAACGCAGCATCCTCAGAAATTGATAGGCTCGTTGCAGAAGCTGTGGTTGAGCGATGGTATCTTGGGCTGGCCGCCGCCCAGAGCGAGCGAGCAAGCAGGTCCAGGGGTCCCGGTCTGCTTCGCTGTCCCCGTAAAAGGCCCCGAAAGGACAGGGAGGTGCATGGGCTGAATGCATCTAGAAGCAAAACAGGAACGAGTGGCGTTCTAGAGAGGTGCGGAGAGGAGGGATAATGGCATGTAGGAGGATGTGTTAATGGTCTGAATAGCACGCACGTAGCGGCCCCATCGAGTTTTCCGGTTGGTCGAAGGACCTCCAGGCAAGGAAGAAGGTAAGGCACCTTACTCCGGGATTCTTGGGTAAGAGAAACGGGGGGCGGTTGCAAAGACTTAGACCGCCGCAAGATGGGAAGCGGTGCGGTGCAATGCAGTTGACGTTGATCTCGTCGTCATTTCCTGCCCGGCAACATGCAACAGCTCAGAAGCCGTGCTTCCATCTCATGTTCATGCTGGTGCTGAGCTGCCTGATGTGCGTGAGACAGAAACACAGCAGCTTGCACCCCGGTCTGGGTCTCTCGGAGATGGTGGCACAGTGGGGTAGTGCCTCTTTGCTCCCTGGTGCAGTCCGTTCGCCGATGGAGGGGTCGATGTCGCGTTGGAGGGGCAGAGAGGCAGAGAGAGATACAAGCAAGCCGTGCCTTGCCATGCTACCTACTATGCTGTGCCATGCCATACCATGCCATCCCAGCTGCGCCAGAGCTGGCTTACCATTTGCTATTACAAGCAGATACCCATATCGTGCGAGGCGAGTTTCGACGGCGCAGAGGAAGAGGAGCGGAACATGCGAGAGCTGCCGTCGTTGCCCGTCACTGATGGCTCGGCGGTCTTCTGGTCGGAGAAATAATGCTTGAGCACGTTTTGTTCCTTGGGGACGGACAGGTTGTTATCGCCCAACATCGGCAAGATACAGGAGGTATCCGAAAGAGTATCCGAGAGAGGGATGGATGGGCCCGTTGCAGGGAAGAGACAGCGGAAGAAACAAAATTACCGCTGGCCTTATCTACCTTGGGAATAATAGCCCGCGAAGAGAGTTCTTCCCTATCTTGCAACAAACAATGAGGCAGGCCTTGCTTGGAACCATCCCGTCGTCTCTGTCATCGGAGGCGCCAATGCCAATGCTCATGCCCAGGTCCCGTCATGGCTGGCTCTTTTGCCCACTTTGAACCACACGTACCGCCGTAGTGACACCCTACCCGTATCACAACTCTCCACTCCTCTAATCGATGGCGCGCGTTCACTCTCACAACCCTTTTTTTTTTTTTTTTTTTTTTTTTTTTTTTTTTTGGTCTCCCTCGTCTCGTCTACCCGTCCCTTCATGATCCTGGACAACCACCACCCGGCACGCCCCTTCTGCGCGCCATCTGCCAGCCTGCTTTCGTGCTTTTCCTTCGTCTTTTCCTACAGCACAGTACCGACCTACACCTAAGGTACTCTTCCTTGCCTTGTCTCACCCTCCACCCTCCTCCCCTAATCCCGGCGAACCGAGCTGGACTAGCCTCCGATTTTCAGTCCACAGTCTGATGAGTCTTTTCTCACACACCTCAATTCTAACCGCACACACACCTTTCTGGTTCGGCCTGTCCCACGCAACGGCACCTCAGCAAGGTACCTACCTACTAGGTAAGGAAGGTAAGTAGGTAGGCAGGCAGGCAGCGCAAGGCAATGAATGCGCAGGTAGGTACCTTACCCTCCTGTTGACTCTGGTGGCAAGTACTCGGTAGCTGTAGCACACACAATACAAACTTCCCGTACCTCGACTTTCCAGGTTGTGACCTAAACACCTGGCCCATCCGCACTTGGGTTGCCAACCTTGGCCTTGGCCGTAGCTCTACGACCTGCCGTGCCTGTTCTACCTGCCCGCCATTTGTCGCGTCCCACACCCCTCCTTTCACTCACTCCGGGATCCGACCCCAAAATTTTCTCTCTGCCAACCTAGATACTGTCTGTACCTGCACATATCATTACCAGCCCGCCCGGAGACCTACCTTTATCTCCCTCCTCTTCTCCTCTCTTTCTCTTCAACATGTCCTCTGAACAGATTCCTCTGTCTAACGACGCCTCGCCGGCACCAATTAACCCTCTGGCCGCCCATCCCGTCCGAGGAACCGCCGACCTGCCCGCCTCAAACACCAACGCCTCTCAAGATGCCCAGGGACGACAGCCCTCCTCCGCCGCCGCCGCCTCCCCCGAACTCGCCGGTGGGAAGGTAAAGCTCCAGAGCGCCCTGCGTCACTTCGCCGACTTCCCCATCAAGGGCATCGACTTCGTCGATATCATGCCCCTCTTCCTCGACCCCTCCGTCCACGAGACCCTCGGCTCCGTCCTCGAGCTCCAGGTCAAGGAGGCCTTTGGCCAGCAGATTCCCGACGTTGTTGTCGGCCTCGACGCCCGCGGCTTCCTCTTCGGACCCGGCCTGGCCCTCCGTCTCGGCACCGGTTTCGCCCCGGTGCGCAAGCAGGGCAAGCTGCCCGGCCCGTGCGTCACCGCCGAGTACCAGAAGGAGTACGGCTCCGATTTCTTCCAGATGCAGCAAGATGCCATCAAGCCGGGCCAGAAGGTCTTGGTTGTCGACGACATCATCGCTACTGGTGAGTTTTGCGACATGCGGCGGGCCGCAGAATTGCCCCTCCATCGATTTCGCAAGTGGCCCCACTAACACCACCCACCAGGCGGCTCCGCAAAGGCGGCGGCAGACCTCGTCAAGCAGCTCGGCGGCGAGATCGTTGGCTACCTCTTCATCCTGGAAATCCCCGGTCTCAACGGACGTGAGAAGCTCGGCGACACCAAGACCGTCATCCTCCTCGAGGACGCATGATCGAATCACCCTCGATCTTCGGACCCCCGGCATCGGCCCCGATATAAGTCCCCATCGACCGACCTATCTCCCGAGGCCCGGCGGCCGACAACGTCTCACATCTCAGTTCTGGCACGCAACATGAGAGAAAAGCCCATCAACGTACATAATCACCCATTTGGAACATTCTCCTTGTCGGCGCCAAATGAGGGGCCTCAACCTGCCGAGACACGATTCTTCCCCAACAACCCTGCATGAGACTTGACTTCTTTTTCGACTCCTTTCCACAAGGAGAACAATGCGCGACAGCAGATATCGCGCTGGCGTTTAGGAACACTTAAAATAAAAGTCGGAAGGCACACTGATTGAAGAGACGCCATTCATAGAGGTTATGAGATTTATCAAAGATATCGGCTCACTTTCCGAGTCGATGTGCGTAATCTGGGTTCTTAACAACTCAAAACGCGATGAAAACAAAATACCAATTTCAGCATGAGAGCAGGTCTACCCAGGCTTTTCGTCATTGTAAGCAGTGACTCCCAACGGTCATCCAATGCTGCATGTCTTAGACACGCCGAAGTATGGGGGCTGGCTATTGCATGTGAGTGGAGGTCACCGACTTTCATCGGCTCACACCAACGAAAGACGGTGCAAGATCTTGCGTAGAGATCCAAGTGCTAAGCAGATCTACACCATCAGACACGACACTGCGTACCTTGTGTTCTGAATTTAAATTTCTGCAACTTACCATAAGCTGTTTTTGATGTGAGTTCTAAAGGACGATACATGCTCCTTTAGCTCCCTTGGATATAGGTATCATCATCGATTAGTTCTCGCTATGCGCCACATACAGTGGTGGGAACTGCTTAAAAACCACCAATATTTCGATGTTCTCTGATCGAATATATTCTAGAGCTGACGCGATGGCTCAGTCATCGAGACACGTTCTCAGGACCGCTTGATCCCTTATTCGAGTTAAGGGGTTTTTAGGACCGATCAGCTGTCGTGAAGTAGGTAGTGTTATTCAGCAAGAGTTATACTAAAGGAAGAGACTACATCGTTTTCCCGTACCATGATGACTATATTCCCTGTGGTCCCTCATATATGTCTTCTCTGCTGGTATCCAACTTGCATCCCTAGCCCTCACTTTTCTCACTTCGGATACATTCACTCTGGTCGCTTGTCAATCCTCTCCTACCAGCTATTGCTGTTTAATCTACAGATGGTCTTTGCTTGGCCATGCCCGCATGCCCTGAAGCTGATGTCTTACTTACCTGGGTGCTTTCCGCCTCCAGGCTCACCCAAGTCATCCAACACGATCGTCAAATATTGATAAAATACTGATGTTCAGCCAACAAGCCAGCTCTATGCAGAATTCATTTTATTTCCGACACTAACTCCTTTCACCGGGAACAAGTGGGACATGACAAACGGATCGTCAACCCGGATCTACAGGACAGTGCAACACAAACATGCCACATATGGCGAGGACCCCGCGAAGACGTGATGGCCATGATGTCACCCGCCGCGCCCTGCCCCTCGATTCACGTTAGATACCCCACCTCTAGCTCACTACCCTTCCTCAGGGAGCTTGGTGTCAGAAGAGGGGGATCTACTTGGGAAATTGTCGAATACATCCCCGGATTTAGACAGCTGTTTGGGTTTCGTAATTCGGGCGGCTGCAGTGTAATTATTAAGCGTCGATGAGCTGGTAAACACCCCTTCACAATGATAGGCGATGCGGGGTTGACTTTCATATAACAAACACGACGCCCAACACGTTCATCGCTCATGAGTGCCAAGCGTCTCATTCACACAAATCAGCAAATCCCACGAACAATTCAACAAAATGACCCTCAAGATTTTCCTGTGAGTCGGTCACATGTCGGCTTAGGAAACAATCGTGACTAATTAACCTTACATCACAGCACCGGCGTGACAGGTACCAAACGCTCTCCTCGCTTGACACAGGCGGGTTCTCGACTTACACACTCACACAGGCTACATCGGAGGCGACGCCTTCCATGCCCTCTGTGAGAAGCACCCGGACTACGAGTATGCGCTCCTCGTCCGCTCTGAGGAGCGCGCAGCGCCTGTGAAGAAGGCCTATCCGAACGCCAATGTTCGCATCGTGGTCGGCACCCTGACCGACTCGGACGTCATTGAGAAGGAGGCCGCTGCCGCCGACATTGTTGTCCGTACGTCTTGTGTCCTGTTCCGTGAAGTTTACATGGAGAATACAGTATCTGCAATTTTGATGTACTGAATGTTGACTGCCCTCTCTCAGACACCGCCGACTCTGCGGACGACGTTCCCTCAGCGCAAGCCATCGCGAAGGGTCTCGCCGAGGGCCACACTGCGGAGAAGCCCGGCTTCTGGCTTCACGTCTCGGGCACGGGAATTCTGCAATGGGTACGAACAATATCCCTTCCGTCCCGTCGTCTTATCTAACACGCAAGGGGCCGACAGTACGACCAAAAGCACGAACGCTACGGCGAGGCCCCCCTCCCGGAGCAAGACTACCACGACATCCGCGACATCGACCGCCTGCTCAGCCTCCCCGACGAGGCCATCCACCGCAACGTCGACAAGATCGTCCTCGCCGCGAACTCCTCCCCCGCCGTCCGCACCGCCATCGTCTCCCCGCCCACAATCTACGGCCAGGGCCGCGGGCCCGTCAACCAGCGCTCCATCCAGGTCCCCGCCCTCGCCAAAGCCACGCTCGAGAAGGGCTTCGCGCCGATCATCGCGCCGGGTAAGACGGAGTGGAACAATGTGCATGTGCACGACCTCTCGGCCTTCTTCGTGACGCTCGCCGACGCGACGCAGGACGCTGGAAAGAATGCTGACCCGGAGGTGTTTGGGCCCCGGGCGTACTACTTCGTCGAAAGCGGCAACCACGTCTGGAGCGAGGTCGCGCGGTGGATCGCGGAGGAGGCGTACAAGCAGGGGTATCTGCCGGCGCCGCTGACCAAGCAGGCTACGATGAAGGAGGCGCTGCAGTCGGAGGGGGTGTCGAATAACAGCTGGGGCCTCAACTCGAAGAGCAAGGCCGAGAGGGCGCGCAAGTACCTTGGATGGGAGGGCAGAGACAAGAGCTTGGAGGAGGAGATCCCCGCGACCCTGTCATGGGAGGCGAAGTTGTTGGACTTGCAGCCGCACGAGAAGGTCAGAAAGTGAGCTGGAGGCCACCCGTTTGATGGCGTGAGGGCCAGGTGAGCATGGTGAAGATTAAAATGACCGTTCATGCAATTTGAATGAGATCCATCTATTTCAATGTTATGGATGATGACATGGAGGCCGTTTCTAGTTAGTCCTCCACCTGCTCGTGGTCAATGGCGAAAGTGACAGTCATCTCAACCTCATTGCTCCACCCTGGGTGCAAGCCCATCTCCTCCCAAGCCTTCTCGATATCAATCTCCAGTACCTTTTCATCATTCTTGCAAATAGACACCGCGCTGACAGGGATGACCGAGTTTTGGATGGTGACGAGGAAATCGTCGTGGATGGTAAGCTCCGGCAATTTAGAGATGTACAGACCTGGTCATGATGTTAAGCTTAAGCCCTCCTTCAGGGAAGCTCAGGGACTTACCAAGAATGCCCAATGCTTTGAGACGGGTTTTGAGCTCAACCTTGCCGTCGTGTCGCAGCAAGAAATCACTGTTGACTATCGCCGCTGCTCCTGTCATCTTCCCCACGAGGCCCAAGTTGGCAGTCCATACTTTGCCCTTTGACTCGCTGTCAAAGCTGGAAAGGGGGTACGCGGTGAATATCTCATATCCTCGTACGTCCACCGAAGTGGTGAGAGCAGAAGCTGGTGTGCCCGGGGTGACAGGCGAGCTGACTTTTCCAGACGAGTGGGCACGAACGACGTAGCGCATGGAAGGCAGAACGCCAGCGAAGGAGCTGAGGGGGATGATCTCTGTCAAGGATCGGGCCGAGATATTGAAAACGCCCAGAATGGGAGTGCCCGTCACGGCTTTGCCGTGGTAACAACCGATCTTCAACAGGCCATCATCGTCGTATCCAGTGTACGGATCGATGGTCTTCCCTATGACGCTGGGACGGAAGATGACGGTCTTTCCACGGATCGTCAACCCTGTCATTTGCTTGATGAGATCCAAGTTGTGCCGTCCCGGGACGTCGGTGATATAGATCGGCCCGCCACTGACGCATCGCGCTGCAGCATGGAAGCCAGAGTAGTCGTGTACGGTCTGGAACATATCCCAGTCTGGTAGAATGTTCAGGTGCTGCGTGAGTAAGCTGTTGTGAGCGTTGGTCCATACGTGCCAAGGGTGTGAGGCTGGGATCTCAGGGAAGAAGTCGTCCGAATTTCGGCAGAGAATCGCGGGCTTGTTCCGAGGAAGCTGGTTGTAGAATAGGATTTGCGGTGTTTGCGACATGCAAGATATGGCTTTAATGCTAAAGTGGCGTAGTGAGGATATCGTCCATGCATCTAGATAGGCATCAATGAGCTCGCGACGGGCGGTGGCTGAGACCCATGTGTCTGTCATGAACTGGGCATCTGTCTTGACACCATCGATGCCGCAATCGACGAGGAATTTGTAGAAGTCATTGTAGAACTTGTCGACGTCCTCTTTGGCTACAACAGTCATCTTGCCACCAAGAGGTAGGTTCCGTCGCTCAGCATCTTCTCGAACGATCTCAACCGTCTTGTATTCCTTGGCAATCTTGCCATCCGGAGAAATACCCGCCCAGTAACCTTGGAAATTAGTCCTGCCAACCGTACATGCTTTGAAGTATCTCACCTAGTAGGGCATGCCACACAGCAATGTGCTGGATATGAGGATGCTTCTCTCGAATGTGGGCAACCGTTGCTTTCAGACCCTTTGGGAAAGCCTTCGGCTCGGCCTCAAACTCACACCAACCATGTTGGAATTGGCCGTGGCCTCTGTAATCGATGGTCTGCCAGTTGTCGTCGATGATGAGACTGGTAACCTTGATGTTGTTCTTGGCCAGTTTGTCAACAGCGTCGAACACCTTCTCGTCTGTGAGACGCT